TTGTAGTTGGGGCCCTCAGATTAGTTGTAAATGTTTCTGATAGATTAAATTATTCCACGTATCCCATGCCTTAATTAAATATAAAAACATTTACTAACAAGTAGGGTTTTAAATGCGTAAAATATGTGTGATCTCAGTTTTATATATATATATATATATATATATATATATATATGTATATATATATATATACCCAAGTATATGATTGGTGTATACGGAGTAAATTCCAATAACTAACAAATACTATTCTTAAAAGAGTGCTCAATAGAGAGTAGAGCAAATATAATTATTTATTCGAAAATTATAACACACTTTTTTTTTAATTCTCGTATACTTGTATTTTGATTGGTCTATTGCAGCGTATGTAACAGCGTTTCCCCTTGCGAGGGATGTTTGATTGGTTTGAACCTTTTAAAACCCTTTATTCTACATTCAACATCATCATTTGATAAGACACCAGAAGTATTGAAACAAAATGGCTATTTTTGTAGTGATTTTATAACATATTTATATTATAATTTTCGAATAAATAATTATATATATATATATATATATATATATATATATATATATATATATATATATCAGTGGAAAATGGCATGATGCTATTTCTGACCTTTGGTCTCTGATTGGGATCTGGAAAGAAATGAAAATTGAGTATACACCATAAAAAACAAAAACAATAACAACAGTAACAACAACAATAGCAACAACAATAGCAACAACAACAACAACAATAATAATAATAATAATAACAATAATAATAGGAATAATGATAACAACAACAACAATGATAACAATAATAATAATAATTGTAATACACTGCTTTCCGGTTTTTTGAACAAGAATAAAGGTTTAGCCTTTGTTCCTTATTTTGAATTGTGTCTCTGTTTACTTCAAAATATTTTTCTTCCTTCTCTTTGACAGTAGCCCGTTGTGCCATAGTACTATTATCGCCTTCCATGGAGTGAATTGATTAAAAAATAATAATAACAATTTTTGCTGACTGTAGTGACAAACACAAAAATTTGCTAAAATCAACGCTTCAATGCGAAATAATTTCTGGTCTGTGTGACGGGAAAAATTCTCAGATAAGTGAGGAAAAGGCCAGACAGAATTGGTGGTACAAAGTCAATGTAGTTCGCTTTGAGATCAATAGACATGGTTGATCGAATATGCTAGCCAGAAAAGCAACATCGATAAATTCAATAATTCTTTCCGATCAGCCTCGTTTTTTTTTTTTGTTTCAACTTCTCGGCCAAATATAGTTACATGCTCTAGTATATAAAACCAAAACACAGACCCAAATACACAAATTTAATATTGTGTGATACTGTAATCTAGGTACCTCCACCATTTCGGCATAAATTTTCTCTATTTAAGTTTAAAATGAATTTTTTTACAACGAAAAACATTCTTGAAGATTTCATTTTAGCTTTAATTGAAAGTTTAATCATTAAACAAATTAAACAAATTCTGGTGTATTTCAGATATAAACTATATACATTTGATTGTGAAATTTAAATTCAAATTTTTAAATTTTCTTAGAATCGGCCATTTTCTTAATTTTAAGAAATTTGCAAACAAACACAAATTTATGGATTTTTAAAATATTTAAAAAAAATTCTGACGCGTTATTTTAATAAAATTAAAAAAAAAATTAAAGTTAAAGTAATCTGATTTGAAAGAAATCTTTCTTACTTATAGCATAAAAAAATAATATACAACCAATTATTAACGAGCGGTCCTGTTCATCTGATCAAACTATTGATGGATGTTGAATGACGAACCGATGACAGCTACTACGGATGACCATAAATGACATAATTTTTAAAAATCTGATTCAACAGTTTTTTTGGTGGGTTTTTAGCTCCCTAGTAATTGTTAAAAATGAACATATTTTCCGCAATTTTTATTGACTTTTATTTACCTTTCGAAGATGCAAAAATAAAAAAAATACCATGATAGAAATAATTTAATAATTTATGAAATGGTAATTCAATTATTAGTTAATAAATCAAAATTAAATGTGACTTTCCAATCCAAAGTATATAGTCTCTGTCTGAAATACACCAGAATTTGTATAATTTTTATAATGAATTTAATCATTAAGCTTTTAATTAAAAATTTGTTCATTCTTAAATTTTAAAAAAAAATTATTCTATTTGAGTATGAGCCACACTAATGGAAATACAATACATAAAATAAAAATATTTAGTGAAATAGTAAATGAAAAAAAGAAAAATTACTTTAAAATTTAAACTTTAAATTTTACACTTTTAAAGCTGAACGGAAAGTACAACCTGTTAGAAAGCAACTAAGAAACAAATGTTATGAAAAGGCCTAGTAAAGGGACAAAAATCTTAGATCACGTGACCTTGTTATAATAATGGCAATTTCAGTATATCATACATGGAAATAAGGAATGTATTAAGTAAAAAAAATACAACATAAAAAATTATTTTTAAAAAAATTAGCGTTTATTAAACTCGTAAATTTTTTCCCACTTAATTACTACATCAACTCCAGGAACCAGCCTAATACAGAGCTTTACACGATTTTAAACTATTATAAATTATTAGAATTAAAATTTATTAAAGAAGGAAAAAATTCTTGTAAAACTTAATTATTCATCAGAAAAAAGTTAATTCTTCAGACAATAATGTCCTTAATATTACTTATTTACAAAAGCATTTGAAAGCTTATCTAATTAAGTAATATCATAGTTTTATTGGATTCATTATTTTTCAATTCAGAGCAGATTTTCTGTTAGTTAGCTCAAATTTTAAAACAAAAAGTAGGTGATTTACCATCTCCAAAGACTGAATGAAAATTATCATGAAAGTAAGTAGGGGGCAACATATTTTAAAAAAAATATTTTTTACCAAAACTTTCTAAAAATAAATATTTAAAAAATAATTTCATTCATTTGTGAATAAGTCCTGAAAATTTCATTAAAATCGGACAATTACTTGATTTTTACAAGAATTTCCAAATCAATTTGTTTTCAACGGAAAAAATTATAAAAAAAAAATGTTATTTTCTATGACGCCGCGATGACGTAAAAAAAGAAATTTTTTAACCAAAATTTCGAACGTGTTAGAAAATATTAAAAAATTTCAAAAAATAATTAAAAAATACTTTGTTCTTTCATGTTAATAATAACATAAGCATTTTGACGATAAAACTTTATTTTCGTTTAGTTTCTGGCATTTTTCATTACGCTAAGCTGTTTTCCCGCTAAAACTGGGGGTGCCTACTGTAATCAAATATGAGAATATAGAAGATAATCCAAAGCATAAATGAATAGTAATAATATTTTCATCTTCTATATACCACGTCCCTTTAGGATAATGAATGATCATAGCTCTCCACAACTTCCTGACTTTTACATTCTTAGTAAACTGTGTCTTTTTTTTTCTATCCTTCCTAATCCCTGTTCCTTTAACAATTTACACAAGCTCATTAGGCAGGCTTTTCACTGCTTTCTTCTATCCTTTTGCATTTACTATGCCCTGTGAGTGTCAATCCAATTCTTCTTTCTTCTTTATATGTCCAAGAAATTTCACTTGTCTCTTTCTGACTATAAATATCAGTTTCATATTTGTACCTATTTTCTGTAAAACTTCTTACACTCATGTTCAGACATTAAGATTCACAGCACACTTCTAGGGAATCACATTTCTGTTGCATCAAATCTCTTTTTCTGTGATGTTTAACATACTCTGCCATATAGGAGGACTAACATTACATAGTTACGCTAAAATCCTTTCTTTACTATTAACGATTTTTTCCTGTTTCTTAGTACTTTGCTTAGCTTCCTGAAAGCAGATTCCACTATTTCAATACACTTACAGATTTCGATGTCCTATATTTAAACGCTTTTCGTTTTTCCGACTTGCATTATTTTTGTGCCTCTAATTTTAATTCGATTCTTGGGCTGTTCTTTTTGCAGACAATATTCTTTTCTGTCTTATTTCTATTGAGGTTCAGTTAGTGCACGTTTCACAATTCAGGGAGATATGATTTTATTGGTTTAATATGTAGATAAGCACAAAGTAATATCAACAAGCGATTCAAAAATTTGTGAAACAAGCTGAAGTAAAAATATAGAACCATAAAAGATCCGTTTGAAAATACTTGAAAGTCATTCAAAATACTTTACTATTTCATATAAAATTAGTTTCTTTTGCGTTGACCATTTATTTCTTAATATTTCCTCCATATAAATTAATATAAATTTCAGTAACGAATTATCCAAATATTAATATTAATCAGATAATTATCAAAATATTAATATTATGGGCAAGGCTAAAATGAAAGTCAATACTATTTTGAGAAGTAATTGAATTATAAATAACTATAAATAATTTTATGGTAAACTTTTGAAGCTTATATTTATTGATGCTATTTATAAATGACCGCTTCTATCTTTTATACATTTATAAACATCTTGAACACAAAAAATGAATATTTGACAAAATTGTGTAGAAATAATTCCAACGAATCTCCAGAGACGCAAACTTTATTCAAATAACACCGCATATATAAAACCAGTGAACGATACGTGCTATGCTGATCTCAGTCAACCAGCAAACATCAACTGAAATCTATACTTGTGATGGTAGTATTTGGACTATTAATAGTACCCTTTCTGTGTAAGGATGTTATTTCCAGTAATTTCTTTCTTCAATGCTTATCAAGTGAAGTTGCTTTACTAATGTTTCCTTGCAGCTTCTTGTATCGATTCGACTGCAGGCAACGGACCGTATTTTCATGCAGACATCGAAAATCAACCGACAAACGGTCGCTGGAAGACACAGAAGAACTAAAAAGAAACGTAACCAATAAATAACATTAACCTTGGACTAGAATGATAATTTTCACGGTACCGTTTCGCCATTAAAAGAATCTGTATCCGTATTTCATTAGACAATTGTCACTGGCGATTGAATTGAAGTGTCAGACAAAATGGTGTGCACGAATTTAGTGAAGGCATAATGCATACACAATGTCCAGTAGATAAAACAAATATCTATCTATCTATCTATCTATCTATCTATCTATCTATCTATCTGCATGTGTGTGTGACAAACCTATATATATATATACATATATATATATATATATATATATATATATATATATATTCAAGTAAATGTAAATCGTCTAGATTCACATAAATATCCAGAATTTAAAAGTATATAATATAATTTCACACTAATCTTTTCAGGATAACGATATACACATGCTTCTATCTAGCTATCTAATCACACACACACACACGCACACACACACACACACACACACACACACACACACATATATATATATATATATATATATATATATATATATATATATATATATATAAAATAGTGAACATGGAAGTCAACGCTCAGAGGCGACAGGCTGTTTCGATTGCATCCAACATGAAACAGTCTGTCGCTTCTGAGTGTTGACTTCAATGTTCACTTTTATATTTATATTTACGTTCGTTCTATCTCTGATATTGAGCATTTTATCCCATAAATATAGCACACCTTAAAACTACATTTCTTCATATATATATATATATATATATATATATATATATATATATATATATATATATATATCGAAATGCCGGTTCTGATCTAATCTGCAGATTTAAGCAACGTCGAGGTTGGTCAGTACGTAGATGAACGACGATCTACCAATACCATGTACTGTAAACAATCTCCCTATGTTGTAAAGAAAATAATTAATAATTTCATATTTCATTCAGAATTATGACATTCATTTATTCTCAACTCTTCATGAGAAAGGTATACATCCATCTCGTCTTCCGCGCCAACTATTGATTATATCTTGGGTATTATATCTGAATATCCTTATTTTGTCAAAAAAGTTATTGATACAATATTCACTTGCAGAAAAAAAAGAGTTATTCTTACAATTCAAGAGTAGGTTTTTATTTCTAATAATCTGCAAAAGGTAGATAACTCTTAAAAGACAAATCTATCAAATCTCTCTCTCTCTCTCTCTCTCTCTATATATATATATATATATATATATATATATATATATATATATATTACAATGAATCATTTATACAAAAAGTAAATTAGTAAAGTTAATGAGATAAAATGGCAAATTCAATTCGTTAAATAAATTTTAAAAATGTATTAACCCACTAAACACTCGATGGATTTTTTAAGTGTGATATGATTAACAGATACAAACTTGTGGAGCCGTGTAGTCTCAACGCCAAGGTTGAATTTTTGAAAATTTAAGTGAGAGCATTTTTTTTACAATAATTTTTTTTTTTTTTTTTAAAAAGAAAACTGGATTTGAATTATATATTTTCGTCACCTATGCCACCTGAATTTTATCAAAAAGAAAATAGTTTCCATGCCTGACAATGACCGGAGAACCTGTCGAATGTACTTGCATATTTAAGGAAGACCTTATGCAGTTTATATTTTTTTAAAAAAAAACAAGGATCATAGCATTCATCGAGTAGTTAGTGGATTAATGCATTTTTAAAATTTGGTTAGCGAAGAGATTTCGCCATTTTATCTCATTAACTATACCAATTTACTTTTTGTATGACGCGTTCAAAATCAAAGAAGTAGTAAAACATGGATGAACTCAAGATATTGAGCTCAGGATATTGAGTATAAATTCCATAGTTGATGAATATGAAATGACTTTAACTAATCCCAATAGAAAAGTTAGCACAAATACTTCAAAAAACAATTAAAAATGATTATTGCTGTATTCAGCAAAGCAAAATGGAAACACTCACATGAAAAGTACATCGGTGAAACAATCCGAGATTTGAAGAACGTGAAATGGATTTGAAATTTAAAAAAAAACAATCAATACGCGTTTATGCAACCTTAACATTCGTGCTAAAAATCTGTAAATAAACAAAGCCGTTTCCATAATTTTTTGGATATTATTTACCAAAGATGCAAACATTCGTAATCTTAAGAATTGTCTATAATTAATCGAAGACTGGGTTATTTGGCTTTATCAGTCCTTCTTAACAGTTAGGAAATAATATGGTATATGTAGACCTTGAAAAATAATTATAATGATAAAATGCAATAAAATAATATGTAGACCTTGAAAAATAATTATAATGATAAAATGCAATAAAATAATATGTAGACATTGAAAAATAATTATAAAAAAAAACAAAGAAAAACTAAATAATAGTAAAAAATGATATGAAATTAGATAAAATCTAATTTCTCTAACGATAGCGGTAAAGGACAAAAAAAAAACAGAAAAAAATAATGCGTTTTGAGGCTCATAATGAATTATGTTTCACCTTGCTAACGGGTATTTTGTCCAGCTGAAATAAAACACATTTTACTGATGATGTCGATGAAATATAAATATATATTTTAATTGTCTTATGAATTTATCTGTCTGTCTGTCTGTCTGTCTGTCTGTCTCTCTCTCTCTCTCTCTCTCTCTTATATATATATATATATATATATATATATATATATATATATATATATATATATATAATAAAAAACTTAAACACTAATATTCCATGGTCATAATTTATTCCATTGGAATCGTAAATACGATCCAATACATCAGACCTACAAATTCAAAAATGAAAACAGAAAAAAAACCACTCAGAATTTAGAGAAAGTGTAAATATTATATCACAGGAGGGGGGAGATTGAACCTTAACAGAGAGAAATTTAGGAGATGTGGGGGAAAGGGTTTTAATTAAAGAAGAGAATGAATGTCGACGGATGTCTAATGCATAAAGATACATTTCGTGGTGACATATATACACCATAGACAATTTGAAGCTAGAATAAAGGGAGGGAGGGAAAAGGAGGAGGGTGGGGGAGAGAGATGGGACGAAGGAAAGTAAAATTGCGTTTACTTAAAGGTCCGCTTTGTAATTGAGAAAATTTGACAAAATTAATATCGACTACAGGTTACAAATCAAATATAAATATATGACGATAAATATAACGATTGTCTAATCCAGCAAGGACCTATATTTCTATGTTCAAAAAACACATGTGAATACACACAATAACATATACATATATATATACATACACATAGGCGTGTACACATACACACACATACATACGTGTACACATATATAAAAATATAAAATATATATTCATATATCCACACATACACATATTCATCTATATCCATATACACACACTTTTCATACATACATGCACCCATGCACATAACACATACATACATATATATATATATATATATATATATATATATATATATATATATATATATATACATATATATACACGTATATGCTTGTATGCACACATATACACACATATACATCCATACACACATACATACATATACATATACATGAATTAATGGATTTTTATATTTAATCCGATATTTTATTGCATGAAAATAGTCATGCTTATTCTGAACTTCGTAGTTGCCGAGCGGTAAAGTCCACTAGATTACGCTGGATCAAATTGCACTTTGGCAAGTGTATTTAAATCATATCACGAATTGAATCAAGGTTTGTCAGGGAAATTGTATTGACGGATGATTGTCCTAAGACAATGTTATGTCATCATGAACTAGGATTCGAGTGTAACGATTTTATTGATCACACCAGATTATGAGATATCACCCAGAAACTGTCTAAAGTGGATATTGAAAAAGCACAGATGTGCCTAAGCTGGCGTCTGCAAAAAGGATTGATTGGCTGCACTATCAGATAAGAGTGATAAAGCTGTAGGCAGGTTTTATTAAAGACCTGAATCAAAATTTGTTTTCCCTAACATACATTGTAACATGGCAACAGATGTTTGTCCCTATTGTAAAAGAGTGGCGCCATCAGCCCGCCTAGATAATATTCAAATTTATAGCATTAAAATTTAAAACACTACAAGGAGAGAGAGAGAGAGAGAGAGAGAGAGAGAGAGAAAAGAGAGAAGCAATAAATGGAAGCTGTTTGAAATTTAAATTTCTTTTTAATTTTATGTTAATATTCTATCTTTGAAAATGACCAAAGGCGTTCAAACATGGGGAAATTTTTTTTTTTTTTTTTTTTTTATTGCACCAAACATCATTTATCTTTTACAAAAATGAAGGAAAAAAACTTAAATGAATTTGAATGTATGTAAAACTCATTGATAAACGTGTCCGGGAATTTTCTTGGGACAGTAAGCCGAGGAAAAAAATTTTACGTATTACACATAGGGTATCGATATCTATCATCTATTTATCTATCTATCTATCTATATATATATATATATATATATATATATATATATATATATATATATATACGTGTGTGTGTGTGTGTGTGTGTGCGTGTGTTTAGTGTGTGCGTGTGTGTATTCTTTAAGTACTTCTTCAAAATAGGATCCTCCGACTTTAATGCGCTGGAATAACAACAGCTTATTAGGTGTATCGTGTAATGATATACTAATATTACAATCACCTAGGACAATTATAACTTATTTTATAAAAAAAAAAAAAGTCTAAAAAAATCTCATGTGTATATATATATATATATATATATATATATATATATATATATATATATATATATATAATATTTGTGGTAAACATACACATATGCAAAATATATAAATATACATACATAGATGCATACATATACATATATATTTTTGAATAAAAAATTCCAAGAGGATAGAATCAATGTCCAGGACTGAGTAAGGATATAATAAAAAGCTTAAACACTAATATTACATGGTCATAATTTATTCCATTGGAATCGTAAATATGATCAAATTCATCAGACCTACAAATTCAAAAAAAGAAAAACAGAAAAAAAACAACTCCGGAAATAAAAAATAGAATTTAGAGAGAGTGTAAGTATGAGTGTGGGACGAATGTTAGAGCGAAAGAGAGGGGTAACAGACGAGAGAAGGTGGGAGATTAAAACTTAACAGAGAGAAGTTTTAGAGATGAGTTGAAGACGGTTTAATTGAGAGAAATATGAATGTTGTCGGATGTCTAATACATTAAATATGTAACCGGAAAGGATACATTTTGTGGTGACACACACACAAGAGACGATCTAATCTTAAAG